GGCTGTTTCTTATTGCATGAGTTTTACGAAGTTTTTGTCATTATCATTGCATATCTATAAAGTTATAGATTACGAGAGTGTATTTCTTATTGACTGACAGTTAACATACAGGATCATTAATGGTATAAATGGTATCTATGTTGGCTGTTATCTGCTCTTTGGTCGGGTTGTTGTCTCTTTGACATATTTCCCATTTCCATTCTCAATTTTATTTCTTGTTTTCCCGCTTTAGCGTTGACGTGTATTTGGGATAATACGAAATAGGACACAATCGATAAATTTATAAATCAGACAACTTTTCCGAAAATATGTCTCTTTTGTTTTGTAACACTTTAACAACGATTAGAAGAAAAATTCGTGATGGTGACAATAAAACTTGTGAAGGGCGGATTGCAGACGTCGGTTTTAGTTTTTGCGTCAGGTGCACACCACTGTTTATGCCGCGAGTCTATATGCCAACATGCGCGCGCGTAACCTATCAGTTGAGACATGTGAACGCCATACGATAGAACAGTTGGTATGTTACTGTTGTGGAATGGGAGGTTTGTTTTGGGTAGATTGAAATCATCACGTGTGTCATAGATGTGGCAATGTTTGAAGGGGTGCAGCTGTGCCAATAGAAATAAAACAAGAATGTGTCCATAGTACACGGATGCCCCACTCGCACTATCATTTTCTATGTTCAGTGGACCGTGAAATTGGGGTCAAAACTCTAATTTGGCATTAACATTAGAAAGATGATATCACAGGTTTCAAGTTGATTGGACTTCACCTTCGTCAATAAAAACTACCTTGACCAAAAACCTTAACCTGAAGCGGGACAGACGAACGGACGCACAGACCAAAAACATAATGCTCCTAGGTGAGGCATAATAAGGTCCAGATATAAAGCAGTTGACTTGGATATTGAAGATTCAATTACTCACTGAAGCACGGGTTATTGAGCGGCAGGGTAAAACACAACAGCAAAAAACCTCGCTTCCTTAAAGTTTGATTCTGACTATATATCATTTTATCACTGACATTGTAAATTTATCAGTCGTCATTTTATGCTCAATATGATTAGTTTGATTCTAGAAAACAAAAGGGCAAAAGAATAACTCAACTTTGCATAAGAATAGAGTTTTGATCTATGTACAAACTTATATCTGCTCATTGTAGTTTGATTTCAACCCTCGTTCATTTAGTCTCTCCTATTACCCTATTACACGTATCAAAATATAAATTTTGCGAATATTAATTTATACTAGCTAGACATGATCATAACCGTGTATGCGATAACTGTACTGAAAGGAGTCATATTTAGGGAGATGATAATATATCATGTATATGTAATTGTGATAAATTGTTTTTGATATCACAATTTATATTTACTGTACTATCAATTAGGTTATGTATACATAACAAATTTATAGCAAATAAACCTTTATGTAGATACGATATCGTTGAGAATATTAATAAAAACTACAAATTCTTTGAAAAAAAATAAGAATCCTTTAGCATTATCATAATAAAAAAAACGTTGGGGTTTCATTTATACATTTGTTCTGGCTAAGGCATATGCAAGACAAAAAATACCGATCACCAGGTAGAATATAAAAATAAAGAGATGTAATATGATTGCCAATGAGACAATTATTCACCAGAGATGCATATTCATACTGTCAAGTATCATCTGCGAGTCATAGAGAAGCACAGCGAATGAGGCCAACAAGGCTCTATATTGTGACGATCAGCTACTATTTTTTATATAAGTTTTTTTTGTTTACCCAGTACATGAAAACCGTTAGAGGATGTGATGATGTTAGGTCAAACTTATCAGCGTAAGTTCATACTATGCCGTCAGCGATAAGTACAGACCAAAGTTAACAAGCCTGGGTCAACGTATTTGACGTAATATGAATAAAAACACGAGGCAAATGACGTAAGTGTTAGCAACTACTTAAGTCGTGATTAAGAGCTGAGCATCGTGATAATGACAGTTTGGGAAACCGATACAAAAAAAACAGAGACATGAAATACATAAAAAAATAGTGTTATCTGACGGAACAATTGTTTTGTGTTAGTGCAAGGAAAATGTGTTATATCATTTATATCAAATCAAATTAGAATTTTTTTTTTTATTTTAGTAAATAAAAAGTAAAATAATTAAAATACTGAACTCCAAGGAAAATTCAAAACGGAAAGTCCTGATCAAATGCCAAAATCAAAAGCTCAAACACATCAAACGAATGGAAAACTACTGTCATATTCATGACTTGGTATAGGCATTTCCTTATGTAGAGAATGGTGGATTAAACCTGGTTTTATAGCTAGCTAAACCTTTCACTTGTATGACAGTCGCATAAAACTCCATTATATTGACAAAAATAAAACTGAATATCTTACATTAAATTTAATGTATTTCTCTGAAATTCATACACATGATAATATAAAACAAAAGATGTGTGGTGTGGGTGTCAATGAGACAACTGTCCGTTAAACACCAAGGAAAATGATATGAACAATAAGGAATGATTGTTTGATCTTCACAAATGGACAAATGGCCAACAAGCATTTATTTTAGTATGTTATAAACGGTCCCGGCATAATAAAATGTGAAAAAAATTCCCAAAAGAAAACAAACAGTCTGATTCATACTTTAATAATAAACAGTTTTGACAGACAGAAAACACTGGATTACAGGCAAATAACAAATGTGGTAGTGTTTACTCATGTATATGAGTACTCAACCTCCTTGTTTTACCTGGGCCAGAAGTGTAACAACACAACCTAAGAACAAAATGTTAATCCTTTTAAAAGAGTTTGAATCATCATTCGGTTTATAGTACTCGCAGATACTGCAACAAGTTCAACATGTGCAAAGGCCAGTGTCAACTTATAAATGAATCGCATCCTAAATTTTTCAATTGTTAAATCTGATTAAAATCGGACGTTTTATCTTTTGTCTTCAAATATTCAAATTTACATTATCGTAGAGAATGCATTATATGGAATTGAACACAATACGTTAGAGGAAGAAGATTTTGTTTTTACATCGGTACAGATTTACAAACATAAAATCTGTAATAATTAAAAACAGTTTTTTGCGGCCAAATCGAAAAATTCTCTTTTGATATTTTATAAAAACTAAGGTTCTGTCTATGCAAAATTGGCTCAATGTTTGATTGTTCTTATAATAAATCATCAAAAATACTAGGTATATTGATTTAAAATGTTTGCCTCCCATGAAATCATCCATTCTTTTATTTCCGTACCTTCGACTATGACACATTTGGTGACCCTTAATCCAACAGAGCCACTCGTTGAACAGTAAAGGTTTCACCTTTGAGAGCACTTGATGTCCTCAGCGTTGCACAGTCTTTAGTGTTTTTGTGAACTGTTGTTTTTCTTCTCGTCTTTTTTCCCTAATATACATGTGTTGTCGGTCTTTCGTCGACTGATAGCTATGTGTTTGTCTCATCAGTATTGTTTCTATTTTTTATGAAAGCAGGAATTTGTAACGGTCCCCTCCGATTTAATTTAAATGTTGTGTACGTCTACATTTTGACCCCGTAGAGATACTTAAACTAAGTCACATCAACAGATAATAATCAAAAATGAAAATATCAATCATTTCTATCAGCGTAATACATATGACCACAATGATTACTGAAATGTAAAACAACATGCATACTGAAAAATTGCTGGAACATAAATTTTAGGTCCTTTTGAGGTAAGTTTTGCTTCTTTTGAATAAAAGTATGTATTTTATCAATGTTACTAGGGAGGACGGTTAAATAAATTACCTAACGCAAAGAAAACAAACAAAACTACATACAAGGTAAACGTAACGTTCCGTAATGGGTAGACTACAAATACAAATAGATGCATCAGCACACTGGAAGTCCTAATGCAAAACTCCTAAAACATTTGTTCTAAACTCAGGATAAATAGAATTATAAAAAAAGAAGAAACAAGAATCAAAACGATATGCGATCTTTTCATTCAAATTTTATTGTATAAATTAGTACTATTTAGTATTTGCTTATACAGAATTTAACATGATAAAATTAAGACCATCAATTTAATTTAGAAATAAGGTTTAGGTATATATATTTCTGCAAAACTGGTTTTGTTTACGTTTTTAATAGAAGATTAATGAAAAATGGTAGAACAAGTAAAACAGGGAATACCTAAAGCAGACAGTGACGATTCAGTACAACGTTTAACATGTCGCCATTTTCTGATGCCAATTATAATCATATTGATGATTTATGGAAATGTTGTACTAGGTACCGCTGAGACTCAGTATGGATATTATGCAGTTCAAAGACAACAAAATATCACCAGTGTTGTTTCAGCATCCCGCCAATCATTATGTGAAGCAAATTCTTCATCTATCCGTTTCAAACAGCAACAAGAAATACAGTTGATAACTGCGAACTGGAATGCATATTGTCATTTGGCACAAAGTATTCCAGTGCTCTTAATGTCTTTGATGGTTGGATCATGGGGTGACAAAATTGGACGTAGAGCAGCATTAATTGTTCCTACATTTGGTTTAATGTTTAAAGCTGTTTTTTTCGCAATAGCAATAAAACTTGAGTGGAATATTTACACATTTATTATTGCATTTTTTGTTGATGGATTATGTGGCATGTGGATAACTTTAATAGCTGCTGCGTATTCTTTTGCTGCAGATTTGACTAAATACGGGAAAAGTAGATTATTTGGAATCGTCATTATTGAAATAACACTTGGTATGGGTGTAACCATAGGCTCTCTAAGCTCGGGCTATGTGATTAAGTATTTGGGATTTTTATACGGATCTATTTTAATTGTTGGTATCACTTTCTTAATTGTTTTTCTTATAATATTCCTCCCAGAAAGTGTACAGACTACGGAAAAATTAACAAGTATTTCTCAGATGGAATATCTCAAAAATTCAATATCATTTTATACTAAAAAGGATCCTTTGAGATACAAATATATCATACTGGCAATTGTATTTGCCCTTAATATAGTACCAGCTATTGGTAGAATTAACGTTCAATCGTTATACGTTATGAACTCTCCATTTTGTTGGAATGCTGTACTTATTGGTCTGTTTGGAGCATTAAGAAGTTTTGTCCAGATGATTGTTGGCATAGGCATTTCCCGTCTTCTGTATAAATGTATGTCAAAGAGAGCTATGATTATTCTTGGATCCATATCTGCAATTGGCTATTACATGGTGACAGCAGTTGCTATCAACGATATAATGATATTTATCAGTAAGTATCAAGTAATATGAAGTTTCGATAACAGTTAAACTGTAAAGAGAAAAAACATAATTTGTTTTATAGGTTTAAAAGCAAAGATATAAACATTTATTTCAATGATTTATGCAAAGTAAACTCCTGCATACTTTGTGACTTGTAAGGCGAAGGTATTCTAAAATATATAGGGTCCATTGTGTTGAGCCAGGCGTTAGTGGAACCGAATAATATTAAACTATGACATCAAGTGTTTTGTAAACCTCCTAGTTATTTAACGTATTTTAATCCTCATGCGCAATACATCTCGTTGACGTTGATGCCATTTGCATCGCCATATCTAGTTACAATCACCAACTGACGTTAAATGGTCTATTCGATTATATAGTAAGACGTTGTAAGTATTTGATCTGACAGTGTATGGTCTAATACCTCAGTAAATATCACAATAAGGCCTCAAATGCAGTTGATCTCATCCAATGAAATATCATGATTTTTATCAGACGAGGAATAAATCTATGAATGTTGTTCTTTTAAGGCTTGTACATACGTGTACGTCGATTACATTTACTAGTTACTATCAAGTTTTCGGGTAAAATACGGTGCACAATAATCTTAGCAATATGTTTCGTTTCTTTGAAATGCAAGAATCTTTACACGTACACCTGTAAGATATAATTTAGTTACACGTAAACATTACACGTAAAAAGAGTTATAATTTATTTTCAGCTCCAGCAGTTGGCCTATTTGGCACATATCCGATCACCATAATACGCGCAATGATGTCCCAGTATACCCCAAAAGATAAACAAGGTACATGAGTGTAATAAAACTTTCTACAATATATAAGATATAACCAAAATATGCCTACTTTTAATTTACCATTACTCCGTTGTAATAGTATAGTGTTCTCGGTCTAACATGAAATCGGAATAATACACAAAACTGAATAAGTAAAAAAAATAGGAAATTTATAATCGAGTTATTTTGATTTTAACTAATGTTATGTTTACAGTAGTTTTGTTTTAATCGTCGCTGATAGTTTCTTAGTGTGTATACATATATTACCAATATTACAGGTGCAATGTTTGGAAGTCTAGCAGCAATCGATGCTGTATGTTCTTTAATTGGATCTGTGGCCTCAAACGTACTTTATGGTGCAACGGTTTCAATATATGCAGGACTTATATGGGTTGTGTTTGGTGGCTTCCATTTGGCTGGCTTATTATTATTTGGGTAATGTATCGTTCTCTACAGTATTATATTCAAATATTTCTGTTAAAATCTTCGTTTGAATAACAATGTTTTGATGTACAATTAAGAAAACGAATTTAGTAATGCCTTGTTTAAGTCGACAGAAATTTACCGTTGTTCGAATATCGTTAATCGATTAGAATGAGACAAATAAAGGTGACAAACAAAACCCGAGAGAATCGCATACAATTCAAAAGTAGCGGGACCGGGTTCGTCGACATGATAAGCGTCTCCTGCTATACATAAAAACAGTTTATTATATTCGTAGAAAAAAGTTCACCCGACAAGGCAGGACTCGGCGGGTTTGCACTAATAAAAGGGCTTTATTCCAGAGAAAAGTGAAAAAGGGACACAGACTACAAACCATTAGATGCAGTAGACCATGTACCAATTGCCTTAATATTGAAGCGCGAAAAAACCATGTTAACAAGTGGATTTTTTGTTGTTGAAAATAATGATTTATTGATTGATTGTTGTTAACCCCATTTTCAACACTATTGTGCTATTTCGTGACGATCATTTTTTTATTGATGGAGAAAGCCGGAGTGCCCGGAGAGAACCACCGACCTTCGGTAGGAAAACTTACAATCCTAGTCAATTAAGATTTGAGTCGAGTGAACCTTCCCCGTACGGGATTCAAACTCACAACCTCAGTTTTCACAGGCTAGTGATACAGTAGTTCGACTACTTTTTCTCTTGATAACTTAGACCACTCGGCCACCGAGGTCCCCGAGAGTCCACATGTTTTGCCTGTACCTACCCTTAAAAGATTTCAGTGGAGCTTATCTATCGTTTGCCTGTATTAAATAAACGTATTTACACTTTTGGTATTTAACTGAATTTTGTCTCCAAATGACCTTAGATCTGCTCCGAATAACCTTCTAACGTCAAGCAACAATCACTTTTTGATTGTGACGTCAAACTTTTTAAACTGTGATCTCAAAATTCACGGGAACTTGTGTGATGTAACTTGATGGCGGACAAATTTGCATACAAGTGTAAATACGTCTATTAATAATACATATTTCAAAAATGCAAATGTCTTATCAAATGAATGGTAAATGTATTGTATATTAACTATGATGTGCAAATTATGTCTCACACTGACTAATACATGTTTAGATATAACAGTTTCAAAATGTACATATCATATATTGATTTTTAATTTTAGATTGTTGTTGTATAAAGAGGCAGCCGAAAAGAAAAAAATAGAAGACAGTAAAACTAAAGATGTAAAACTCGTTTATGTCGTGAAGCTATAATGTGCTGATATAATACTAAATTTAACATTTCGGAAGAGAAATGTATATATATATGAAAATAAAATCTACGAATTGTCTCCGTTCTTTTCCATAAATAGGGGGGAGCAATACCTTTTTCTGTTAACCTGTTTTGGGGCTATTCCAAGTTAACTGTTATTTGAAATATATATAACCTGTTAACTGTTTTCAACCTACTGTCTGTTATCTGTTCTGTTAAACTTGGCAATGTTGTTAACTGTTTTATATGAAAATGGGATTCCTGTTATCTGTTACTTGACACTTAAAGTGTTCACTATTTTTGGCATAATTTATCTCTGTTATCCTTTATTTACAAGAATTTTCAAGATTCACACTAATCACATTAAATTTCCTGTTAATCTCTTTCTCTACGGTGCTCCCTCAAAGGAGTAACATAAACAGCATATATGTAGAAATAGGTCTCGTAGAATAATTTGAAAATCTTGAAAATTCCTTCCCGGCCAGAACAGCAAACAACTCATGTGTCGGGTACATAGCGGAGATCATCGGGTTGACGGCCGAGCGTACCCGCCCTGGTTGCGGCATATATATGAAATCTTGGAATCCACAGGCGTCAAGTGCAACTTCATACCATGGGAGCAGTGAACACCCGATCTTCACTGCTGGGATAGTAAGAGGCGGGTAGAAGAATGAATCCGGGCATGCTGCTTCTTCTCCGATCTCATACGAAAAAGTCAGTTGGTAAAGCGACATAGTGGCTGTACGACCCTACTCAGCCGGCTACGGTCAGCAACGACAGTCCAGGTACAAAACATTGGTCCAGTGACGCCGTCAAAAATCAGTGGCACGGTACTAGCATTGGTATCATCGCATCTGACACGTGTCGCAAAGAGCGCCCCGGTCTCAACCGGGAAACGGCCGGCGCATGGTAATAAGAAAGGAGAGGCTGAAAAGAAAGAAAAAAAAATACACGCCGCGCCGGCACGACGGATGAGGACGAGGATAGGGATAGAGCTTGGTTTACCCCCTCCGAGTCATTACTCTCGTTGTGTCGGTTCCATCACACGTTTGGCTTTCTTTCTTCGTCCAAACGACGGAGCAAAACGTCAAAATGAACGAACCCTAACCAGACGGGACAAACGATGGGGAAAAAAACCAAAATACATAAATGCGGACATGGCAGGCTGGTGGCGAGGTATAACGAAGAATGGGAATAGTAGGGTAACGCGCGGTCCAAACTTTATTGCATTAAAATAATATTCAATTTCCTCGGGCGGTACAAATAAAACTAATAAAAAAACAAATAAAGTCTATATAAGCCACTCCGTGGGAAAAAGTACAAAACGTATTTTTGATAAAATTTACAGGACACGTTATCAAAGTTCATGAAATTATTTTTGAAAAACGATTTTATTCGTAAAAATTGGTATTAATGTAAACATTCATAAAATGGTCATTTTTGTCCCGAAATTGTCAGTAAAAACAGAAAAGACGTAATGTCACATATGAATAACTTCCAAATTTCAAAATTGGATCTTCCTGTAAGGTATAGACCGATAGATACTAGTAGATTGATAATTTCTTGCGTGTTATTAACAAAACAAATACATCGCTACAAAATAGCGACATTACAAGAATACTTTTAAAAAAGTATTTCAACAACACGACATGTTTTATAATTCATGTGATGTTCCAATTGTCGTAACCACAATCCCGTCCTCTTTTCCCCAAAAGTGACCTACCAAATTAGACTTATCACCCCATTTGGTATCTTTCGCCTCTCTTCACCCCCAGTTTTTGGTGGGGTTCGTGTTGCTTAGTTTTTAGTTTTCTATGTTTTGTCATCTGTACTATTATTTGTCTGTTTGTCTTTTTATTTTTGGCCATGGCTTTGTCAGTTTGTTTTCGATCTATGAGTTTGACTGTCCCTCTGGTATCTTTCGTCCCCCTTTTCTAAGATATCTTGGATTTTAAAACAGTATCAAAAATCCGACACACAACAACATGTTGCTCCTTTCTACGAGACCTATAAAATTTCCGAAAATCAGTAATCAGTTGCCCTCTTGAGTGTTTTATCCACGAATCAAGTAAAAAGAGCATTATTTTCTAGTTTTATAAAAGTCGGAACAATTCCGCAAGAAAAGGCTAAGAATGAGAAGCAAATGATACAAAAGAAGACTGACGTTAAGTGATGAAAAAGCACAAACTGCAATATAAGAACGAAATATTTCAACATGGGGGAAAAAAACCAAACGATAATCCTGCATGTTAGCGAGATTGACAATTAAACGGCAACAGGAGTGTGTTGGTGGTGTGGAAAGGTGATTGGAGTTTACTTGAGATAGAAACAAAATATTTCAGTTAATAATACAGAGGCGTAAAAGGTTTAAATATTGTTAGATTATTTTTCAAAATTAAAGTAAGTGTAATTTACGATGGGTTGATCCTTTAGCTATTCCTCTCTCTTGAATCAACAATCACGTAAATTATGACGAACAAAACAATACATACTCTGTTCTGAAGCAAAAAGATCGAGTTTTATGCATATGGTTTAGAAGTGGAATTAATTTCGTGACTCTTCAAAACCTTCATTCCTCGATCCAAATATATTGTCTCCGGTATAAAATACATCCAAAACTGTATCGTCTTGTGACGCCCTATACAAGCCAATAGAAAGCCCTGAATAAAGAAAGTAGGAAACTCAATAGACTCATAACCGAATACCAAGTCTTTATTGGACATGTTTTAGCCTGAGTGTTATAGTAATCTTAGATTTAGCAAACTTAAATATTATAAAGTATATATTCGGAACACGTTGCAGCATTCACGAATAATTATTTTGAGATCGCTCCATATTTGTATGGTCTTATTCTTACTCTTAATCGGAGTCGAGTCGGAGTCATACACATATTGCTAATTTCTAACATTAGACATTTTGAAAGTCACAGACACTTATACCAACAACGATACCTACACTGAATAAAAAATAGAGCGACCGTATCATAATGTCGAAATATACTAAATGACTGACATCGTAAAACTTGGTTAGAGGTACACATATATAAATCCTGTAATTGATTCCATGTTTTTTTTTTCTAATTCTAACTCATAGCTAGAATCACCTAGAGTAAGTGCTCTCATTAGTTTTTGGATTTGTGTGATGAATTTATGATATTCCATCTTGTTGTTTGAATAGTCTCCGTCAACAATCCCGCCCTTTTTATTTTTGCATCCTTTATCGGTATCGGAGAATAATGCATGTATACCGACTTTATTATATCACTTATAACATGGTCAACAGTAAATGAATGTTTTTTTTTTCTCATGGAAACTGGTTTTATATTTTCGATCGTCAGGGGTGCGATTGGTGTAACATCTAGAGAAATATATCGTCCGACAACAGACCTGAAATATCAAAATTTGTCCGGGCATCGTCGTTATCACTGTTAACTCACTCACGTTTTTAACACTTTCGGTGGTACATGCCTTATACAATTTGGGTTTTTTGGATACAAGAACGACACCCAACAGTTTATGCTAATGCGATAAATAGGTCAGGAAATGGCTTTTTCCAATAGCAGACAAAATTCATTAAAATCGAAATCTATAATGACGCCTTATACATGTACATGTACATGTAAGCAAATCGCTCTATAACTTGCTAATCTAAAAAGAAAATGCAGGTAATTCAATGGACTTTTAACGAAATACCGTGTTACGGTAGAACATACAATTGACAAATGGAAGTGCCATAAAATATTCCAAACTATTTGTAAACACCCATTACACAAATCATATGGGGGGGAGGGCTCATAAAAAATATTCTGATCCCCAATTCGAAAGAAAAATATAATTTTGACTTAGACAAAACACTCATACCCCCCCCCCCCCCTCCCTCCCTTGAAGTTAAATTGTTGCTCCATTAGCATTCAATAGTTGTGTTCCGAGGGTGGCTTTTTGGATCATTTAGATCAACCAAGTAGCTTGGTAATATCAACTTGATGATAGATAACATATTGTTGAAGAATTAAAGTGTGTGTACATGTATGTGCTTGGTACGTAATAAACAATAATCTATGATTATGATGATTATTATTTTTATGACGACTGAACACAACTGGACAGTAAAGTGAAATTTTTATAACCATTAAACACATGATATAGGCATAATCTGTTTGTTCTTACTGGGCTATAATTTGGATAGAGCACAGCTAAGAAGTGCATTCACTACCTCAGTTATACTGCACAGTTCATATGTACTGTCATCTTTAGGAGAGGATCCAGGACTTTTCGAAGGCATAGGGGAGTATTCCATAAAAAGAAAAATTCGGTTTAAACATTATATGTATGTATTCCAATCAAAGGGGGGACGTACGCCATCTCCACCCCCTTTTTTAATCCGCCACTGACTTGGCAATTTGCCGAATTTAATGAGGTTTATATTCAAGTATGTGTCAAACACAGGGAAAAAATGCTAGTAAGTTTGAGATCAATCAGACTTCTTTTAGATGAGACATGTCTCCAGAACGATCAGGATAGTTAATTAAGAAACTTTGTGTACACTTTTATGATATTATTTATAAAATTTAAATCTCAAAACAGAATTTCAAACTTTAACAAGATAAATTGTTTTTTGCAATTTCTGGAAATAGCTAAAACCAGAGTTGGATTAGTTTTGTTCTCAATTGAATCTATCATGACTTTTTAATGTCTAAAACCACTAATTCATAGCCCATTGCCTTCTATGTTAAATTCTTCAATTTAAAGCATTAATGGCTACTTTGTCTGAAGTTCAAATACAGGGGCAGTCATTTTGTGTCAAAACTATACCTTATCCTGACGTGTGGGGAAAAATTCAACAAACCTTCAATTGCATATTAGAGCGTACTGTTTCCTTGAAGTTTGATAGTACAAAAACCGGTACTTCTGATCTTAACAACAGGGCAAATATGCCCTTCTATTATAATTTTATATACTTCTTTATTATTCAAAAAAAAACTTTCAACAAAGGTTCTACAGTGATTCCAAGTCCCCAAGCTTTACCAATTCTACCCAAATATTTCACCTTTTGACAAAGATACAGCTATGCATAGGAACT